GTTCTTGCAAGGAGCGTTCTTGACCTGCAGGTGAGCTGCAGCATCATCCTCGATTGTGTGTAAGTCCAGATCACAACATCAAGCGGTTGCAAGATCATCTAGTACAACGGATTGAGCGAAGGAGATACGCGCAAACGAGCAGAACTAGTCGTCCGATAGCGATGTGAGCGTTACATGCTAGCGCGAGAGAGTAGACCCATGAACATGAACATGGCGACTTAATTTCGCTGGTCTTGCACTCTTAGTACCGCTTCGTGTGTTTCGCAAATACTGTGTGTACCACTGCGTGAAATTACTGCAGAAGTACTGTCCTTGACGACAAGAATTTACTGCAGCGTGACGCCTCGATAAAGGAAGAGATGGTATTTTGGGGGGGCACTAGGGAGTGGAACTAAGAAGAGTGCTGTTGCTGCAAAGCAAGGGGAAGAGCATCTTTTTGTTGTCCCTGGTGAAAAACCTCTCGATCCTCTCGGACGGGGACTGCTGGAAAAAAAAACGCATTGGTGCAAACATGACAAGGATTTTTACTTGTTGTACAGAACAGTGGAAACTTGACACCAGTCTTATTCTTTTATTTAGAATGGGAAATAGATTTTTCAACTTCAAGTTCAACATGTAGAGATGATAGAGGACAACCCCCGGACCCACTATCGGATCCTCTTCCGACCCATAGGCGGTCAAGAGGCGTCTCTTCATCTCTTTCATCGAATCATAACCGTACTTGTGTTATCAAAGAAAACTTTACAAACAAGTAAGTAAAAGCGCTACCAAATCGGTCATAGACGAACGGGTAAAAGCGCTGCCCAACGGGCAAAATGTAGTCGGTCATAGACGCAACAGCTCACTAGAGATATTAGGTCGCTGTGGACTGCCTCGTGACGTATGCGCAAATCTCGGTCGAAGTTTGATTTCTGCAGGCTTCGTACCCTCACGGCTCACTCTAACATCTTCCATAAAAATCACCTCCCGTAAACGAGAAAAAGTCGTAGTCCTACCGAAAACGAGAAAAGAAGCCCAAGAGACTCTACGTGGGCACGCTCATTCATATACCCACTGAATCAATCACCCACTCACGACTCTTTCTTGGCGTACTAGATCGGAAGATATAGATACTATAAAGAATTGGATGACTGCAAAACACGAGTGATAAAAGAACGAGAGAAATAAAAACGAGTGATGCAAAGAAATCAGTGTTCACCAAGCAAAAGGAGAAAAGATCTTGTGTAGTGTTGCGGCTCGTGTCCTAGTCAGACGAGGGAGGTGCTTACACTTGTCCTAGTGGCTCTAGGATAAGTGGCACCGGAAGATATCACTGCAGAGGGCGCTCAGGCTCACGGTGATGCCCCTGGCCCTCTCGTCGTGCCTATTTGTTGGCATGATCGCGCTCGGTTCCAATTCTCCCATCTGATGACCTCCACAAAGTCCTCTCCTCACCTCCAAGCTTTCCCAGTCAGTTGTTTAAGAAGTATGACAAAACAAGCATCTGTTATTCATCACTGATTATACTCCTTGATGTTTACTGAAAAAGCTCATTATCTTCTTTACTAAAAAGCCTTCCGGAACACGACCAATACAGTTTTAGGGAGGAGGAGCAAATAGAATTAGTAAGTGGTACGTGCAAAAATTCAGAATCTATTTATCTCAGTGATCTCTTGCAGGAGCAGGAGCTTTTAGTGCTTGGTACTAGCGTTGTCTATCTGAGAAGAACAGTTCTTTTATGACCTTCTAGTCGGAGCAGGTGGAGTGCGATCTTCAGGCCATTTTCGTCTTGCGAGAACGAAGACAGGATGACGAAGAGGAAGACCAACACGAAGAATAAAAACTCCTCGAACGCGAACAACAAGAAGAGGAAGAACCAAAACAAAAAACGCGTCCAGGAGCGCCAGCTGCAACCAACTTAAGGCGTGGCTTCGTTATAAAATTTTATCCCTCAGCACTGATACACATACAGATCCATCTTCTATTAGATAAGCCGTCCGGTGTGTAGTTTAACTCAAGAGTAAAACATGCAGGTCCACGATTGCAGTCGCCCTTTGTTATTTTCCCAACAAGGCCTCCAACAAGTAGCTGCACATTCACAGGAGGTCTATAATAAAGATTGAGATGAAGATTATGAACATCAATGTCAATCCCCACCGACATATCCCGTTGATAATTCTTGTCGTAATTAACTAAGTTCACTTGCTTAACCTGTTTACTTTCGAAATCGAACCTCTATTTCACAACATTATGAGCATCATGGAGTGATGTGAGCTCTAACTTCTCTCTTCGAACTCTGTAGAGCGGACGACGCTTCAGGCGAAACAGACAGCAAGACGCCACAACAGCGGTGCGCGATGCTGCCGCTCGCATCGCGGATGGTCCTCGGCCGGGTTGGCCTTCCTCTCGAGCATGCCGGAAGTAGCTTCCCGTGAGCACAAGCAGAAGCAGAAAATATCGCATCTTCATGAGTCGGGTCAACACGGCGCTGGCAGTGATCAGCCTCTAGGTACTTGATCGTCTCGCAGCTTTTGTTCATACTATCTACTACTTAATATTCCTTTTTTCAAGTTGTAACTGTAAGCAGTCACTTTGTTTTTGTAGATGAGTCGCGTTTCTACAATAAGTAGATGACTCCTGATGGTCTAGATCTATCTCCCCACTGCGACTTCTTTGTATCAAGAGCATACTAGTACAGTATATGATGCGGGAGGTATCATTTTCTTATCAGCATGCTCCTGTTATTTTCTTATCATCATTATACAGAGTTTCTCACTCTTGATCGCCTCGCCGCTTCTCTTCATAGAAATACTTCCGCATCTAATCAGACACACACACAGACACTCTCAGCGCAAGTCACTTTGTAGCGTGTTGCTTATACAAATAGAGATGATCTCCCGCCGATTTGGATTCCCACCTCGTTGTATCTTCACTCAAGATTGTACTAGCCGCAGTTGCTACTTCTCTTCACTGATGACCAGGGAAATCCGCCACGCGCGCGCGGAGAAGGATTCGCCTACTACTGACTGCGCTGACCGCACTCAGAAAAGTCCCGCAGAGCCGCCACCGCATTTGGGTGGAAGGAGTCCAAAAACCTGCAAAAGACGGCGCCGCCCAAATGCCGCCAAAAACTGCAGGAAAGTCGGAACCGTGTCCGGGTGTTTTGGTTGGTTTTTGGTTGTGTGTTGTGTCTCCACCGCAAAAGGGCTCTGCCTTCACGCGCCTGCCATGTCTTTCCGCTCCGACGGCAGTCGGGTGCTTCGCTTGCTGCCGATGAATCCTGACGGAAGGGCGGTGGCCAGGTCTGCGGAAGTGTCGCCGCCAATGAGTTTGGTTCCGGCGAGTGGGGGTCTGGCTGCTGGTTTTTTCTGTCCGTGTGCCTTCTCCCCATGAGTCCAGCGTGACCGCATCGCGCTGGCCAGGTCTGTCTGTGGGAGTTTCGTCGGCAGCTTACTGAGGCGCTGCGCATGGGGATGCGGCTGCAATTTTTCGGCTTTTCGCCTCCTTTGTTCGCTGGCTTTCGCTGGTTCTCTTGGGTCGTTTGCGTGTAAGCTGCAGAACGACGCGCCTTCATCTCGGTGGCTTGTGTGTAGGCTACGGAACAGGGGCTGGGGCTTTTTAGATATTGGGTTTGGGCTTGGGATTCTCAGGCGCTTCCTCAGTCGGACGAGTCAGTGTGGCGTGTCTGAAGTGCGTGGGGAGTGCGTTGCGCGTCGTCGTGGGCAGGGGGGCGCCCGCGTATAGTTGGTATGACACATGGCAAACGGCGCGCAATTCTAGCCGGCATGCCTTGGGTGTTAGTTTCCGCGCGCCCTCTGACCGCTCGATCGATGCATGCAGAAGTCGGTAGCTAGCGTGGGCGCCTCATGGCAATACGGTGTCGCTTTCACCATCGTCGTCGCCTCCTTCTATTTCGACGAGGAAGTAGACTTATATCCCCATCGCTGTCAAATAAATTAAAACACATTTTTCCACAGCTGAGCATATGTCCATTGAACGGCAGCGAATTGCGACGAAGAACCAAAACGAGCGTGGTCAGGGGTCGACGGCGTCACAGGTTATCCCGCTTTTGCTTTTTGATGTTGTTGCACTAGTGCACTGATGCGACCTGCTCATCTACTTATCTAGATACCCTTGTAGCTTTTTTTACTGATAATATGTCATCACTTTGATACGTTTTGGGTCATGGCATGATGACATTCTTTGTAGTTCTTTAGAAGATTTTCTGTAGCTTCTTATCGGAATAGACGAGATAGAGAGTATTGTCTCCAACTCTAGACTTTCAATACCTTACTTTGATGAAGAAGAAGACACAGGTACTAAAGCCGAGGACGACCAAGACGAAGGATGAGATGTTGACTTAAGGCTACCGCTAGTCCGTCCCTACATATTTATAGGGGTCCCTCAAGAAGCGTGTACTACAACAGATGAGCAGTATCTTCTTTGAGGGGATGTGATTCCCAGCACAGAGATGGACTAGGTGGAGTAGCTCTAACAGACCCAGCTATCGGATACATTGAGTTCGCTAAAAGATTGGAAATTGAGAAATTGGACCTTTTCGAAAAAACTAACCGATGAGAAGCAGGAACTGTCGGAATTGAAGGAGGCGCAAAAAAGCTTGAAAAAGGATCTGAGCATTAGGGAGTCTCTATCTATAATTTTTTGAGAAATGTTGACCTCGTCGACCCTGCAGAGAAAATGCATGTTTATGTTTTTCCTCGCTTGTGGTTTCATCTCTTCTTTCTAGTTGGACCCTGACTGTGCTATTAACAGGTTTATAACTCAACATACGATAGCAAAGGGAGAAGGGGGGGCAAGAGTCACAGTTTCACTCTCTGAGTTTGAATTATTGATTGATTCTCTCCTTCCTGGGATCTTAAGGAAATCTTAACTAATTGTAACTGTTTCACTGTAGAGCAGGACTATTCAACCTACAAGTGAATCAATTTGTTAACAAAAAAAGGACCGTAACAACTACAACAACCATTGAACACAAGTTTGCTTTAGTTTTCAGGTAAAGTTAATATAATTGCAATGACAAGGACAACTTCATTTCTGAACACCTTTGATTGATTGGCTCCTTCCTGAACCTTACCGAACTTATTCTTTTATTAATTTTTTTCGTACCTCTGCCTCACTGGGATATAGTACTTTTATTCTCTTCATCATCTTAAGCAACTTTCTTAACTTTTGAGCAGTAGGCTCTAATAGGAACTGCGAGGGTGAGCGGCGAGGGAATCAAGTCGAGTCTGATGAACAGGATTTGGCGCTTGAGGAGAACGTAAAGCAGATGGTAGACGGGCACACCGTTCTCGATGCGCGGCTGGCGCACGCGGTGGCCGAGGCGGAGCTGCTCAAGAAGGAAGAATCACTTTACGGCTACCGCTAGCTCATCTCTATATTAAGTAACTACATGGGAATGAGTCTTGATCTTGTTCTCTCAACCTCGTACTACAGAGAACAATGAGTATCTTCATTGAGAGAAGATCCCTGACTGATGAAACATGCGGGATATTTCCAACAAACCACACCCGAGCAACTACATGAGAAAGTAAAGGCTTTTGACCTTCTGGTAGGGGAAACCAAGGACTTCGACAGTCGGCGACTCCTCGTATCAATGAAGCAAAAAAAACACAAAATGCTGGAGGGCAACAAAGCGCTAGAAAAAGAGCTACAAATTAAGGACTTTCTCCATAATAACTCATGGGGTAGCGAGAGGTGGAGTAGGTGGTGGAAGACAGGAGTTGTACGATTTGCAACTTTAAACATAGATTGGTTTATGTCACAGACAACCCAGCATGTAAGTCTACATGTAAATAACATTCACTGTGTATTCTTGATTCATTGTTCCCTTTCTAGCATCATGTTTTGAGGAAGTCAATCACAGTCAAGAATTTTAAGTTTTGTGGTCTACCTCTAAGAATACTTGTAGAAGTAAAGCGAAACGGGAGCAAAGGAAGTTTTTGGCCGCGCAAAACCTGGAGGTGAGGAGGGTATTGCATTTTCGTACTTACAATTATACATACTATGGTAGGTCCTCGTTGTCGGTATTCGTTCCTTACCCAAAAGCGTACTGTGGTTGCGCGCGTCTTCTACTATTGTTCATTGTAGTAAAACATAGATTGGGTTTTATCACTATTTCTTAGTCTTTAATAAGTCGACGTGTAAAAGATAATAATATATGGCACTCACTGTCATGAGACAACATGATTTTTATGGCCAGGCCGAAGAGGTGGAGTCTTCTACGGCGCGAGCGGCGGAAGAACACGCGGAAGTGCAGCCTCCTTAAGGCTACCGTTTCAGCACCTCAGTGTTATCCTTGGCTCTTTCCTTCTTGAAAAAGAAGCCAAGAATGCTCCCGGGGTGGTGAATGCCATCGTGGTATTTCTAACAGGAGGCGAAGCAGCTTCTGCAGGAACCTAAAGGTGAGGCGCTGGAACTTCAGCAGCCGCAGAAGCAGCGTGCAACACAGCAGAAGATCGAGGAAAAAGTGGAGGGGGCGCCGTCTGGTGCACCGGGATGTTGTAATCTGAGAGGAAGTATGAAATTTATGAAGTAGGTAAGGAGTAATCTAGTAGTAGAAGATGAGTCGACAAAATCAGCTCTGTTCAACATGAATATCATTCAACTAGTAGTTAGCTCCTGCCTCCAAGGACAAGTGACCTGTAGTTCTGGGGGTCCGGTATTACAAATCAATGGATCTCGTCATGCACAACAACCTTCATCCATAGAAACGACATGCAATGAACGCCTCAAAGTATTGTGACAATGAGGATTCCAAGAACTAGACCTGGTTTAACAATAGCGAATCATGAGCATACAAAGACCACAGAATGAGCATATTACAAAGACAGACCAAGCGTAGTTTGACGCCTAACAGGCCGTGAGTAGCAATCTATACCACTTTCTGTATCCCATCCACGTCTAGATTTAAGTATTCATAAAGATAATATTATTTTATTACATCGTGAACAAGAAGATCATCACATTCTCAACATCGAAGAACTCGAAGAAGCTCCGCGTGACTGAGCCTCGTTTTGTCATAATATTCATATCTGAAGACGACTGTGAACATGAACAAATTCATAAAAAGATATTCTGCCGTTGCACATATGAATCGACGATTATATTGCTTAATTAAATGCTTGTGCCTATCAACTTAATCATGAAAAAGGACACCGAAATCAGTTTTCAAGAACACTCTTTGTATACGATAAGATTGTTATCCATTATAGTTAATAGTTGTTCATCATGTGAAGAAGTAGTGCTGGAGGTCGGAAGATTCTCGCCCGTGATCATGAGGGCACTGCCACTCCTGACATATTCCCTGCACACTGCTTCTAACATCAAACTGTGTTCTCGGATTCTAGGTTTAAGAGCGTTAGATGATGATGCGGGTAGTAGGGCTGACACGAGAAAAGTTCATATTTGCCGCTGCAGCGCGTCGCACCCATGCTCCTTCTGGATCCTCTCAGGTCCTCCGTGAAGATGATATAAAGAAGCAGCATCTTCAAGAAGCGGCTGCATAACCTTGTGATCATCGTGCTTCATGCTTATTGACTGACATCAGAAACAGCTGACTGCTCATCTAAAAAGTTCTGTCGCTCGTCATAGATCTAGGTCAGCATAACCACTACAACTACCACTTCTACCAACATCTTCATCAAAATGGGATTCTCATTCTTTCGCAAGGACAGTTTTCTGTTTCTGGCATGGTTTACCTGCCACTTATCTGGAATGACGTCACACGCAGGTGCAGTTTTCGTCACGACTCCGGCAGCCCATGGGCAAACAAGCGCAGAACAACAACAAGGTGTGGATGAGTATTCATCTACTCAAGAACAGACTCCTGAAGATTCATCTACTCAAGAACAGCCTCCTCTTGCGCCATCTTCGTTGCGGGAAGAAGATTCATCTACTCAAGAACGGCAAATTCAAAGCACAGGTGTTACGAACGAGAGCAGATTGCCGACGCAGATGTTGACAGCCGAATCACAACCTGAACTTCACCAACAAGAACACACGGAAATCATTAATAAAGGGGTCACAAGAACTTTATATCTATATGTTTGGAGGAGCTCTAATACAACGAGTATTGCAGTCTTCTAGTGCACCAACAGGAACGGGGCTTGCGTCAACGACCTCTTCATGGTGGAACGTGCATGGTGGTGTCCGTGCACCACCGAACTCTGTGGTAAAGGACTCTCTCATTTCACCTGGGAAGCCACCTGCCTTGGGAACATCAAGTAGGGTAAACGATGCTCATGCTGGGAATTCCAACAACAATAGCAATACCAAGATGGCTGTAAGCAACAATTAAGGCTGTAGCTAATGCATCTTTACCTGCATCCTTGAAGCGTAGATATGGGGGAGTAGCCCAGTGCGATACTCTGGCATACTTTTCAAGGATGCAGCTGGAAGATGAATTACGGAGAGCGTTAAAACAAGCCGATAGGAGGACCAGGAGGAACAAATAAGCAGAACGTTTTAGACGATTTCGAGTATGACCAGACTGCTGCTGAGCGGCAACGTCGAGCCACAACATCCTTTGAGTGCAGAGACGCCGTTTTTGTAGATGGGGCATTGAGTGCAGAGACGCCGTTTTTGTAGAGAATTCTACAACATTCTTTGAGCGCAGAAACGCCTTCCTTGTAGATGGGGGTTCTTGCAAGGAGCGTTCTTGACCTGCAGGTGAGCTGCAGCATCATCCTCGATTGTGTGTAAGTCCAGATCACAACATCAAGCGGTTGCAAGATCATCTAGTACAACGGATTGAGCGAAGGAGATACGCGCAAACGAGCAGAACTAGTCGTCCGATAGCGATGTGAGCGTTACATGCTAGCGCGAGAGAGTAGACCCATGAACATGAACATGGCGACTTAATTTCGCTGGTCTTGCACTCTTAGTACCGCTTCGTGTGTTTCGCAAATACTGTGTGTACCACTGCGTGAAATTACTGCAGAAGTACTGTCCT